TTGCTCACTGAAGGTCTTGACCATTCACCTTCGAAGTGGTTATTATGTAGCCAAGCATGGTGGCTCACGCCTGTAATCGCAGCACTTGGGACGCTGAGTCAGGAAGATTGTTGTGAGTTCAAGACCAGCCTGGGCAACAAAGTGAGCTTGAGGCCAGCCTGAACTGCATAGTGAGACCCAGTCTGAAAAAGCCAAACAAAAGAAAACAAATCAAAACAAAAACCAAAGTGGTCATTACAAAGAACTTCCTTTTCTGGAATACTATGGCTATACCATAAGACTCACAGGACTGACCTCAGGCAAGTCATTTCAACAAAACCATTCCAGTTCTGACCGTTACTAGTGGTGTACAATCAACTCAGTTAAATAACAGCACTGAACCTCAGTTTTCCAAACTATTTATAATAATATTTCTTTCAGATGGCTATAGAAGCATCACATGAGATCATGGCTATATAGTATTAGACAAAATCAGTATACATATAAAGTGTGTGTCACGTGTGTATGTACATCTGTATGTGTATATGTATGTATATGTGTGTGTACATACACACAGACACACGAATTTTCTAAAGCTTTAAATTTCCCTAGGAATTCCTTATGGCTAAAAAGATGTTAGTTTGATAGAACAATGTAATTAAGAAACCAAACATGAAAACTGTAATCTTCAATTCCTCTTAATTTAAGCCACATAGTTATCTTGTTTATTTTAAAGATTGAGATTCCCATGTAATAGAGTGCAACATTTCCTGAGTCCTTATTCATCCAAGTATGGCGCTTTGTACTTTCGTACACTCTTACTCATTCCCACACAGCTGTGTGTGTCCTGAGGTCGGCCACACCATTTGTACATGAACTTTTCTCCAGTCATTCAGGAGCAGGAGGAAGAGCTGTGACTTGGACTGAGATTTGACAGGCCCGAAAGTATCCTCTGCCCTCTCTCTGTGCCCTCTGCGCCCTGCTTGTAGGCCATCTACCTCTTGGACCTAAGATTTCTGGTAGTGTGTTATAATAACCCTTACTGATTCCCAAATCCTAATTTAAATCAAACTTCTGTTTGATTATCAGACTCCTGTAACAGATGCTTTAGGTTAACCTGTGTCGTTGGTGTGCACAGAGCTCTGAAACATCTCTGGACATGGACAAGGAAATGAATATTTCAAAATCATCTAAGAGATTCATTTACCTTCTGGTCTCCAACTCCCTCTGCTCCCCCTTTTTCTCCCCATTTGCAAACAAAAGGCAGGCAGGCTGCTCCAAGCTGGCCTCCATTTCCCTGGACACTCAGTGCTAATGAGCAGGGAAATGGCTGCCTGTGGGCAGAGAGGAGGAGACCCCGTTGTTATAGAAGGGGACTGTGGCCCCATAAACAGGCAGCGCGCTGGCTTTGGCAGAGATGACGGCAAGGCTGGTGTGGCCCCAGAGCCAGGCATGGCCCAGCCTAGGATCAGACGAGGAAGGCTTTGTGCCCTGCTTCCCAAGTGGACGTTCCAGGAAGGAGTCAGATGACCTCAGTTATGGAAACCAAATGGCCCTCCTTTGTTGGGGGGGCACTCATTTTTGTGGTAAAGTGAAAACAGCCTCCAAACCTAACAGTCTCTCTCAGAGCAGAAAATGCCAGCTCTGCAGCGCAGGCTCACAAGCCCTGGAGGCTGACAAACGGACAGGGATGATGAAGCTGTCCTACGGCTGGGTGAAAAGCTCACAGTCCTCCTGGTGAAGGACTCCTCTGCTTTGCCCCAGAAATAGATGGACTCCCAGGCAGGGACGGAAATGAAAGGAGGGAAAGAGTGAGAAGTGTCTGCTTGTCCAGACCACATTCCTCCCCCGACTTCTTTCCAGCTGAGGTGGAAGGAAGGAGGCAGGAGCTGTTCAGAGGCACTGGAGCTGTGCTGCTTTCCTGTGCTGCCTGGACCATCCTTGTCAACGTGACCCAGCTGTTCCCACAGAATGCAGCCCAGAGTCACGAGGCCTCCTGTGGCTGCTCTGTGGCTATGCCAGGTCCCTGTGGGCTGGCTCTGTGGGCAGGGAGATGCGCTCCCAGGTAACACTAGTGCACGTGCCTCAGAAAAGCCACGGGCATGAAGAAACACATACAGTTTCTGGTCAGCCTTGCCTGTCCTGTGTTTGGTTGATTCCCTAACGCGAGCCCTTCCTGGAACGTAGTCTCTTAGCAAGGAAAGAATAATGCGGAATTATTCAGTTCCAATTCTGGCGTTACCTCTAACTTGCTTGGCAACCAGATGTCTCTCTGAGCCTTGGCAACTATTGTCTCTCTGAGCCTCCATTTTGCATCTGAAAACAGCCTGATGATCCTTGCCTGGTTCAGGAAGCTGTAGTGAGGAGGGAACAAAGCATAGCTCTCATCACGGGTGGTAGAACAGCCTGTTGGATAACAGGGATTTTGCAGGGATAACTGCCAGGGTGCAAATCTAAGTGCTCCTGTGTAGCGCTGAGCAAATTGTGTGTGTGTGTGTGTGTGTGTGTGTGTGTGTGTGTCCCTCGCCTTTCAAATGCAGGGAGTAGGAGCCCTGCCTCAGGGCACTGCAGCAAGGTTAGGCTTGACTAAGTGACGCATGTGAGGTGCCCAGAGGAGCCCGGATGTGTGTGCCAGGGGAGACTGGCTGTCATTACTTTCTTTGCCAGGAAAACATCTTGAAAATGGTAATGGTCTGTTCAGGCACTGCATGATTCACTGCTGTCATCATAGGCTTTAATATTTTACACAGCACACCCTCCCCGTTCCTGTACATTTCAGCAGCTGTCAAGAGCTGATCTAAATATAAGGGAGGATCTCTAACAGTGCCCTTTTGCTCTTAGGAAAAATCTCAGAAAGCCTCACCATGTCCTGTACAGACCTGATCATCTGTCCCTGCTGCCTTTCTAGTCCCCTTTTGAGCCACTCTGTCCCACTCAAATTCAACACCTTCAGTGGCCTTTTACCTCTCCAGAGGGCTGGGCTCCTTCCTGCCCCAAGACCCCAGAAGTGCTTCCTCCTCTCCCATTCCATCCGCTCCTCACCTGCCCTCCAGATTTCAGTTGATATGGCATCTCCTCCAGGAAGCGTCTCCTGACCACCAGCAGCCAGAGGAGCATCAGCCCCTCCTTCCCCTTGTGTGTGCTCCTCATAATAACAGCTAAATACTAGTCTGTGTGGTTAGCAGTTTGTCAGTTCCGGGGGTGAGATGTTTCATCTCCTTTGCTCATGGCATGCCCTCTCACAGTGCTTGGCACATGGCAGACACTTAAAAAATATATTTCTAATAAAAATCAATGTATTGGATTACTCTCCCTACTACAGCTTTTGTAAAATTCCCTAAAAAGGACCCTTGTTTTTATTCTCAAAGCCTGTATCTCTAGCGTATAGGAGGCCTTCAGTAAACATTTGTTAAATGAATGAATGCTCAAATGGCTTGTGAGAACCTTCTTAGCTTTTCACGAGATTTCCCGTGACAGCATCCTCTTCCTCTTCCTCCCAGTGGGGATGGAGTGCTCAGCTCTCAGGTGTATCCTCTAACTCCCCTCCCAGCTGGCTCTGCCCTATGAATCCAGGAATAGGCACAGGGTTAGGACACAAAGCTTCCTAATCTCCAACTGTATTCTATAGCCATGACTCACACATGACAGAAGTGAAAGCAGTTTCACAGCCAAGGCCAATAACAGAATATTATCCTCTAAATATATATATATATATCCCTTTGCATCTTCAGAAGAGGCTGATATGGTTGTATCACTGAAGAATCCAAAACAGGGCTGTGCTTTAGTGGAGAGATGACCAGGAGGCATTCCTGGTGGGGGACCAGCACCAGCACACAAAGGTCTGTCTCAGGGCAGGAGGAAAGCAGGACCTAAACAGATTGGTACAGAAGGAACTTATCTTTGTTGCACATGTTTCCGTGAATATGGCTTCTCTTTCCAACTAGACTTAGATAGAAAGTCCTTCGTGTCAGTCTAACACTTCTTTGTTTCTCCCAAGTTATTTATTTTTGGGTGAAAAAAGGAAGAATTTCATAACAAATAATAAGAAAATAAAAACTGTGTATCATTATCATCAAAGTAGTTACTCAGAGAAAAAAGATTCTTACAAAAAAGAAGCAAATAGATAACAGCACAAAACTTTATCAGTAAACTAAGAGACGCTAGTAGTATAAATGAAATGAATTAGCATATATATTGTAATATTTTTGATACAGCAAAATAGGTAAATTAGGGAATTATTTGAACTTTCTATTTCCCATTTATCTTCTATTTTGCTCTTTGGGTGTACGTATACATATATATTTATATATTTTTATTTTCTCATATAAGAAACTGTGATATTTAAGCTTGTGGTTTGACTTATTTCACTTAACATTATGTTCTCAAGTTGAATCCATTTACCTAGCGGTACCTCAAATTTAATTTTCTTTATGGCAGCATGGTACTCCATTATGTATAAGTATCCCATTTTCCTTATCCATTCATCTATTAATGGACATGGACACTGTTTCCAAGATGTAGCTATTACAAACTGTGCTGCTATAAACACAGGTATTCATGTATCCCCAGAATATCATGATTTTAACTCTTTGGGATGCTACCTAGGAGGAAGATTGTGGGGTCAAATGGAATTTCTAATTTTTGTTTTTCTGATGGAAACGTAAACTCCAATTGTAACATAAGAGTTCAGTCCTGGTAGTTCAATGGTTGACACAACTAGACCCAGTGGGGGGAACATATTCAGTCAAGTGAAGCCCTTGAATTCACTACTAATGGCACAAGAGTAATTTTTATTTCAGAAGGTTTTTGTTTTTCTTGAGTCTCCCTGGACTTGGTTGATAGTCTCTAGAGTTCAATGAATTTGAAATAATAACCTTGAGCCAGGAATGTAGCTCAGTGGCACAGGCGCCTGCCTGGCAAGCACAAGGTCATGAGTTTGATTCCTGGTACTAAAAAAAAAAAAAAAATGAGATAATAACCTTGCCTCTCTCCCTCCTAACCCAGTGACTTCTTCTTTACAGATGAGAAGCCCTTTGCTGTGGAAGATACTTATTTACTGTGTCCAGCACCTATCTTAAAAGAAGTTGGCATGTAAGTTTTCACCAACAGCTTAATTTCTCAGCTAAGGAGGAAAGAGGAGATGGAAGGGACAGAGGGAAAAGAAAACATCTCTCTCCCTTACCAAAATGGACTTTTCTCTAGATTCCCTCAGGAATAATGGTGCTGGTGCCTACAGTAAGCCAGGCACTAGATAAGTGCTGTACAGAGTGTCTTTTCATCTTTCCCAGTTTGCTGTGAACAGACATTCCTATTACACAGGATGAAGACTGGGGCCAAAAGAATTTGAGTAACTTTCTCAAGGTCACACAGTAGTCAGTGGGAGAGCCTGGGCTCGATCCCAGCTCTGCCTGACTTAATCACAACTACATTTCTAGAAAGTTCTCACATATTACCTCATCCCATCATCACTAGTATCCCACCAGATGACTGTTACCAACTCCCTAGACACAGGGAGACTCGGAAAGGAGATCTGGAAAGGTGAATCAAGGCCTCAGCCAGTTCATGACCAACCGAGACCCCAGACTCAGACCTGTAATATCCTCCTCAGTGTTCCTCTGCGTTCCTCCCCAGAGCAACGGGTGGTCACCCAACATTCCCTCAACTAACTTAGGAAGAACAACTCATGTTGTTGCATTAAATGTTCCTGAGATTAATCACAATAACTCAACAGAAGAAAGAGAAGTAGCACCCTGAACAAAAGAATTATGTGGGAGGGGCGGGCTGGGGATGTGGTTCAGCAGTAGAGCTCTTGCCTTGCATGCACAAGGCCCTGAGTTCAATCCCCATCACCACAAAAAAAAAAAAAAAAAAATGTGGGAAAAGAAAGGTGGTGTTGGTGCAGAGAATAGAAAATAGCCTCTTGAAAACCATTTCTGTAACAGGCTGCAGATGGGGTAACAGCTTTAAAGGAAAAAAAGTAGAAATTGTTTACCCAAATTCTGCTTCAGCATTAGTTTTTGTTGAAAGACGTCCACCCCCAGGTACTTGACATCTGCCTATGATACCACAGATCCTGTCATCTAGACCAGTGCTCTTGCTGCAACAAAATGCGAGCTTGTGTTTCAGTGAGTTCTTATACATGGGAGGAGAAGGCGAATGAGCTCATCTGCCGCGTTATCTTTTGACTGTGCTGACCGTAACACAGCCACCTCCAGCAGACTGCTGAAAGTCCAGATAATGAGGGCAGAACATCAAGCTTACAGTCTGCCCAGTTTGCCCCATTGACTTGGATCACTTTCTAGGAGTACTTTGTCCCACTGCAACGTGACAAGTGAGTTAAGTACAAGTGGGCTCTGCCCACTGGATGCGATTCGTTGCGGTGCAGGGAGGTCCGAATGCCTTGCCTTGAAGTGCCGGCTTGCGTGTCCAGTCGTCTCTCTAGATGTTAGAGGTGAGGGGTCGAAGAGGTTGCCTTCCACAATCCCAAAGGGGAAACTGAGGCCTTCCGAGGAAGAAACTGCAGTCCTCAGGACAGTTAAGAGCAGTCCTCAAAGGGGACCCGTGTGTCTGGCTGTTGGCCTATTCCTCATCGCATGCCATGCTGAGTGTCTCTGGTTCTCTTGTCGTTGCAGGAAAGCAGCGCTCCAGGTCAGCATGAACGACGGCCTCTCTTTCATCTCTAGCTCTGTCATCATCACCACCACACACTGTGTAAGTCCTAACTTCTCCCTGTACTCGGGACCTCTCTATCATCATCGTCAACAACTTTTCTTAAACACCAGTCTCCTCCAAAGGCTTCCCTGCAGGCATCTCTGGTTCTTTGCTCTGCTCCCTGACTTGCATCCCCAGCCCTGCTGGGCCAGTCTCCAGGTGGGCCAGGCATGAGTCAGGAATCCCTCTGTCAGCTCCAATGGGTTCCCCATTTCTGACGTTGAGGGGAGCCCTGAATGCACTGGTCTGCAAATGGTAAGACGGCTATATCTGTGTAGCAGTGAGGGAGGGGCCTGGATAGAGGATGGGCAGGAAGGAATTGGACAACGTATTCAGAAAACACATCTTCGGGGGTTTTTATCCCTCCAAAAGTAAGCAGGAAAATGGACAGTGGCTGGAAGAGGGACAGAGAACCTTTCATTTAGGATAAGAGAAATGGAAACTGGTTTATGCTCGTGGAACTAATCTGGGGGAAATGGGCAATTGATGGAGAAGGAGGCTTTCTGTTGGGGGTGGTGAGGGAAGAGCAGTAACTGCTTTCTCCCTGTGCCTCCTCAGATACCCTTCACTGGATCTTTCCCATTAGGTTCTTGTTATTGCTGGCTTCCTATGAAGTCGCCTGGAGAGCTTCTAAAAGAGAATGGAGCCAGAGTCTGTGGCACCAGCCCTGGCTTTGGTGGCTCCGAGGCCTCTTTGGGTGCTTGTAGTGTGCAGCCTCGGTAGTTGCTGTGGCTCAGGGTCAGTGTCGCAGAGCTCAGCTTGTCAGGGGCAGTCAGGGCTTGGTTTATGAAAGAATTTAACCTCTAACACGAGCACTTCCAAAACAACCATTTTCAGGATATTCAGTTTCTTTAACCAAATGTACTATCTCCACTGGATCATTCTAACAACTAAGGTGTTTGGCCTGATGGTCAGATTATGTAGTTGCAATGGTAACTTCCTGAGTGGCTTCTGGAAGACCCCTCAGTAATTGGAATTGTGTACTTAATACCATTACAAGTGAACAAGCGGTAGCACCATGCCCTGACACCAGATAAAACAGAAACAAGTTATCTCATAAATGAACAGGCAAACCAGTTTTCTTGAAAGCTGGGTAAGCTAGTATTATGAAGGGGGGACTAAGGTTGTTATAGACAAGTGCCAGCATTGAGAAATGTCCATGTCTGCAACATCTGGTCAGCCTTCAAATTTGGATGCCTGAACAAGACACCATCAAATTTTTCTTAGCCAGGCATGGTGGCACATGCCCATTATCCCAGCATTCAGGAGGCTGAGGCAGGAAGATTGCTGCCTAAAGTGCACAGCGAGACCCTGTCTCAAAAAAAAAAAAATGTACATAGAAGCAGTAAATTTTTGTTTGTTTGTTTGTTTGTTTTAGACACAGTCTTGCTATGTAGTCCAGGCTGGCTTTGAACTCTCAGTGATTCTCCTGCCTCAGCCTCGCCAGTGCTGGGAATACAGGCATGCGCCACCATGCTCAGCAAAGCAGTAAAAATTCTTCAAATGTGCCCTGCCTCATTCTTTTGGAAATTGACTTTTGGAACCTGCCAACCTGCAGGAAATTATTAAAATACTCCAAATCTAGTAATTCCATTCCAGATTCCTCCCAGCTTTTGAGTGATCCAACAGTGTGGACCTGCATTTCTCATTATGCCTGACTGTACCACAGAGAAATACTCACTGCTTTTGAACCACAGTGGCAGGGGAAGTGGGAAAGGGAAATGTCTTAGGACTAACCTTGTGGTATGGCAAATGCAAGGCCACAAATTTAAATCTGGGCCTCTAAGTAAAGAAAAAAAAAGGCTCCCTTACCAAAGTATTGCAAAATTAAAGAATTCCCAGTAAAGTCCATTGCATCTTCCCAACTCACTCCATCCCCACTTCATCTTGTATTGCTATCATGCAATTGCGTGTCACAAGTTTTTTGGTCAGTTGATCTTTGATTAAGATAGCCTTTTATATATTCTATCCTACTCCCTTGTCACTTTTCACTTAAGAATATTGTATTAGTTTACAAGAAAAAATTGAAGCCACACTAAGATTTGAGATCTAAATCCATTCATTCAATAAATATCCATTGATTACAATGTGCTAGGCACTCTCCTGGGATACATGAGGGAACACAGCAGAGAGAAATCTGGAAGAGCAGGAGGAGGCAGATGGCAAAGAGTAAAAATAACATAAGGTGACATGTGCAACAGGAGGATAGAGCAGAGTAAGCGGGATTGGTACTACTTGGGTAGGTGGGTTCCAAGGTGGGTAGGGTAATGAACACACTAACAGCATGGCATTTGAGCAGAGTCCTGGACCGTGAGGAAATTAAATTAACCATGAGGCTATAGGAGGGTAGAAGAGGGTGGAATCTTCCAAGCTATGAGACCCTAAAAACCCCTTGTGTTCAAGGAAGGGCAAGAAGGCCAGCAGTCATTCCCTGAATGAAAGTAAGCGAAGACAATAACAGAAAGTAAGGTAACTGGAGACGGAGAACTCAGGGCCTTGAAAGGACTTGGGCTTTGGAGCAGAGGAGCCGCATGGTCTGACTTACATTTGAAGGATTTCTCTGGCTGCTGAAATGACCTAAAGATAGCCAAGAACCAGGAATGGAAGCAATGTGACTAGTCAGGGTGGTTCAGACAAACAGTAGTGGTGGCTTGAATCAGAAGGCAATGGAATTGGAGAGAAGTGGTCAGAGTCAGGTGTATTTTTAAAGTAGAGCTAAGAAATTTCTGGAAGTTTTAGGCGTGGCTTGAGAGGAGACAAGTCAAGGGTGGTCCTGAGAGTTGAGCCTTCGTGACTGTGAAGATGGACTTGCACTCAGCTGACAGGCAAGAGCAAGACTGAAGGAAGAGGAGATCTGGGGTTGAGAGAGAAAATCGGAGGATCCTTTTCCCTGATTAATATTTGTGTGACCTTGGCCAACTTATTCAGTCCTTTTGTGTTTCTGTCTCCTAACTGATAAAACTGAGATGACAGTGGTTTAAGTCTCCTACAGAATTGTGAACATTAAATGAAATGATGGATGTAAAGTACACAGCCTAAGTCCTGAAGGGGAATTAGTGCTCAATGCATGTTAGTTATTTCATACTGAGAGCTTAATCAAAATTTTTGAACTAACTGGAGATTCTTCTTAAAGAGTGGGCTCCTCAATTCAGAGTTCTATTACAACAAAGAAGATAAAAAAGGAGCTCCTCTAAGACAATTCGGATCCTCTGCAGTCCACATCTGTCACTCAACCAACCTCAAGCAATTGGAAGGGTCCGGAAAAGACCAAAATCTCCCAGGGAAAGAGACCTGGTTTTAATCTCAATCTGAAACCAGGCCCTATACAGTCAAATTAAAGACTAAACTATCCCTGGGCAAAATAGAGATGGGGATGGAAGGCGTGGTCATCCAGAAGATGAAGTAAGGTCTTGGACTTGTGTTTGTTTGGAAGACTCGGTTTTTAGATCAGAAATGATCTCCCGGGTCTGAGTAAAGGGTTAGTCTTGTCTGTACCAGTCACAGCCTGCCCGCCCAGTCCATCACCTGGAACCAAGAATCACTTTAAAATATGTAGCTGAGATTTTTCTCACTTTATTTGGTGCCCATTTGGATAACTGTGTCACAAGCTTTCAAGATCCATGGTGAATAATTGTTGCCCCTGCCAGAAGCAGAAATTCCATGAAGTTTTACAGGAAAGAGCTTTTTCCATCCAAGAGCTAAAAGATTTCCTATACAAATGGTAAACTGTGTTGAGCTCCATGACTATAGAAAACTGGTCAAACGTCCAGAGGCCTCTCCCAGCAACATGTTCAGTAGACTTCATCTCTGCGATTCTAAATGCTCCCCTCTGCTGCCCTGCCTCCAGCTATGTGTTGAGATAAACACTGATAGAAAGAACCTAGCAAAAAATCTATACTCGTAATAACAAAACAAGCAAAGTCTAATACTTTAAAGAACTTTTCTAAAGATTGTCTTCTTTTAAGTAAATAGTTTACTTTTCTGTAATTTCCCAGCCCAAAGAGCACAAAATGCAAGGAATCTTTCAATAAGTATTTCTTGCACTCCTACTGTGCCTCCTGCCATGTTGCTGTTAGACAGATGAAGCCAAGGAGCCTGTAAAAGGGTATACAATAAAGAACAGGATTGTGTGAGTCAGGTACAAATGCTATGGGATTTCAGAGAGGGGAGGAAGGAGCGGAGCCAGGAAGAATCATGAGATCTCCATGGAGGAGGTACTAGCTGAGTGATGATTTGGAAAACGGTAATTATAGCTGAAGAAGGGAAGAGGCAATTCTTTAAAGAAAATTATCAAAGGGCTAGCAAGGGCTTGAAATGTCTCTGGCATAGTTTGTCTATGGTCTCTCCCAGAATTGTGATGCTGTCACTTCTTTTCTGTTCATTTTGTATCAATTTTTGGTGCCTTGTTGTCTTGGTTACTTTCCTCTCATTGCTGGGACAAAATACCTGATGCCCAAAATTAAGGAAGGAAAGGTTTATTTCACTTACAGTTTGTGGAGGTTTCAGCCCATACTTGGCAGGTTACAGGGCAGAGTGGCACATGGCAGAGGGCTACAGCTCATGGCAGCAGAACACAACAAAAGCAACAAGCACTAAAAGGGAGGAATGGCGGCAAGCAGCTTCTTCCTCTCCCTTACATATGCAAACTATCCACCCCACGGCGGGTGCAGCTCTCACACCCATAGTCAAACTGTAAAAGCCTGCCCCATGGCCACATGAGGCTTTGGGGGACACCCAGACACAAACCATAACACTTGTGTGTGAGAGCCATTTCTCAAGTTAGCCATGTCTCCTCTTTTAGGATGTGCATCCCACCCGCTTGATCTTGGTCACCAAGGATGTGACAGAGAAGCACAGCTGGTGCTTGTTGCTGTTCATTGTGATCAGGACTTGATTTGCGTTAGTTGTCACATTGGAAAAATCACACTCTGCAAAGGAAAAAAAGGAGATCTAAAGTTAGACACAAGGTTCTAAAATCAACACTAAATAAATAGAGAGCC